GAGAGAGAGAGAGAGAGAGAGAGAGAGAGAGAGAGAGAGAGAGAGAGAGAGAGAGAGAGAGAGAGAGAGAGAGAGAGAGAGAGAGAGAGGAGACTCGAAGGCATCACCCAGAGCTGCCGACACCACAGAGGCCGAAGAGGGCCTTCAAATTGAGAAGCGGGATAGGAACCTGAAGCATGGCTCTTCTTGAGAATGAAGAGTGGCAAATCTGAGTGTGCCGAAAACAACATCAAGGGGTTGACGGGTGCTAGGAAGAGGTGGAGGGGTGTGTGCAACTGCTTCTTTTGACCTCCTCTGTTGCAGCAATACCAACTCTGGATGGAGTCGGTCACACCTACAGCGGTGTGTGATACAGTGAGACAGAATTACAGAGATTTGATTTGTAAAGAGGCAGATAAAATCACAGACACAAAACAAGTACGTGTATGTATAAAAATATAGTGTAGTACTGTCTGTACCGACCCCCAGGAACCCAAAATTACCTTCACTGCTTGAAGGTAATAAAGACTCCCTGGTCAAGAAGGGAGGGACCTAATTGGAAAAAAAGAGAAGATCAGCCACGCACTTTCATGCTTGCCGCATTCCAGTTCATTGAGAGTATTATTTACTAAATTAGTGTGTTTCCAGCAGCTTCTGGGACAACTACAACTGAGCGCAGTACACCCTTCCCTCCCGCCCCCCTCCCCCCTTACCAATCCCCCTCCCCCCCCCCCCCCAACAAACATCTGCCCTATCATTCATTGCTTTAGCTCATTACTATACAATGCTTCAACAAATGAATGGTGTGCGCCTATCACCCCCCACGATAGGAAACATAGTGAACTTCTAGCTAGTTCCTATATAAATCCACTACCCAATCTCACCATCCTCTACCTCCGGCTTCTGCTCCACAGGCCCTTGTGCTGTCTTCTCTCCCTCTTGCTGCTGTTTTTCATCAGGCAAGACGACGTCATTGCCAAGATCCCGCCGGATTTTCTCTCCGGCTTCCCCTCCCCCTCCTGCCGCTCCTCCTCCATCCCCGATGCCATTGCCGCTGCTGCTAACTTCCTCTTGAGCACCGCCGCCGTTGTTATCTTCGACGTTCACTTCGTCGGCGGCACAATGAGCCTGCTCATTGCCACCACCTTGGTCTTTCCTCGGGTTGTAGCCGACCGTTTCCTCTCGGGCTACAACACCCCTACAATTCACATCCACTCTCTCATGATCGTTACCCTTGTCGATTTCCTCCTCGTCATCCGACGACTCCTGCTTTCGATACAGACCCAGCTTTTCCAAACAATCACCACCCACCAGATCAAACAGTTTCCCAAGTGGTCCGACCTTGCTTGGAATCTCTCCTTCCCCCCCGGCTGTGCCTGTCGTCGGGTCCATTGTCAGCTCCTGCATGGCCCTCATAACACTCCACTGCTCATCAATCTCCACAGTCTTCTCCATCTGCAGGCAAACCCAACCAATCCAAAGCAGAAAATGTGTCAGATTTTGACGCTATCTCAGCCAATCGTAAACCCCGACGTATAGAGTCCGCAAGTAAGCTCCTAGGTGGCATGCTCCGTATGCAAGCACTCCTTTGACAGAAGGGCCACAGAGAAGTGGGGTTTCCATGTCTGGTCCTCCGTCTCATCGAATCAATTGAGCGAGGTGCAGACATAATGTGTGTGTGTGTGTGTGTGTGTTTAGAATCGAATCAGTTGAGAGATGTGCAGGCGTAACGTGGGTGTGTGCGGTTTAGTTTTCCCCCACAACATCTCGTGTTCCACCCAGATGAGTAGATCCAAAATCAAAGCGACTTCACCTCTATTGTGGACAGCGAAGCAGACTTGAGATGAGCAACAATACATCCAACTTTACCTCTGTAGCAAGCAACATGGAGCACAATAGATCCATTATATTTCTTTAAAGTTTAGACCACCAGTATTTTTCCCAGCCATTGATGCCGAGCCTAGAAATGCCCTGTGCATCGATTTTTGCCGAGGCTGAGAGTGACTGGTGCCAGCGTATGGAGAAAAGGGTGGTACCAGTACCGCCCTCTGTGAAACCCAATCTGCTGGACCTTGAACAGCAGACGGAATACGAGAAGGCCGTGGTTTCCACTCACGGAAAAGAAAACTGAAACCAAAAAAACACAAAATGAAGACGCTGACATTGCTCCCCGCCACTCACGGGGAGTCGCAGGTAGAACACTCGATATTCCTCTTTCAAGGAAGAAAAGAAAAACATAACAAGCTCTCGATATTCTTCTTTCAAGGAAGAAAAAATATATATAACAAGCTCTGAATTACTTGCAGTGTATTTTCACACGTTCTACTGGAAGATTCAGATTCATCTCGACCGTTTTTTTTGCCCTTTTCTTTCCTTAGCGACTCACTCCACTACTCTCCACATGCACAAAATACAAAAAAGAAAAACGAAAAGGAAAAAAAGGTAGGGAAATGTATCCTTTTGCACGTTTGGACAGTGAAGTGAGGGGTCCGACACTCATTTGTTTTCTGTTCTTAGTGCCTCGCTCCAACATTCTCCACACGCACAAAAGACAATATGGAAATGTATCTCCCATGTTCTGTCCGAGGATTCACTCTCATTTTGCAGGTTTGGAGAGTAGTGGAGCGAGGGGTCCGTAGATCTAGACAGAGCTCTCTCAACCATTTTTTATTTTTTCTCCCCCAACTTTTTTTTTTTTTGTGATCTTTCCACGCTCTTGTGGGGGATTTTCTCATTTTGCCCGTTCTACCCTAGATGGCCGCCAGGCGCTATCGTGGCCAAAAACACAGTTCAGATTCAAACTTGCTTCCGATAGCTATGGCGCCTGTGCGCCCGCATAACAACCAGCTGACACTATATCACCAGCAACTGTTACTGAGTAGTCTTGTGTATGGTAAGTACTATAGCTCCAATCATGGCCACTAATAAAATCAGACTTGAAACCAGAAACAAATAAAAATAAGCGGTATAAAGTACATTTCCTGAAGTTTCCAGATTCGTCCAGTAGCGAATGCAGATCCCAAGGCTCGATCCCCAGTCATCACCTTACCTGTGAACAGTATCTGTGTCGACCCTGAGAGTTGAACCCGTGACATGTGTGTGTTTGCAGAAGTGGTAGTCAGTCGTAGGGTCCGTAGGTGTACGGGTTCAATCTGTAGATCTGTCGGGTAGAAGTCTTAGGGAGTTCTAGAAGTTGTAGCTGTAGAACTTCCGAAGGGTCAAGGTCGTAGCTGCTACAGTCCTGAAAGGTCAAGGTCGTAGCTGCCACAGTCTTCGAAAGGCCAGGACCCAGACTTCTGGAAGGTCCTAGCAGTGGCCTTTCGAATGCCCACGTTAGGCTAAGGCAAGTGGGCAAGTGGTGGAGTCTACCGGTGCCGAGTCAGCAGTCCCAGTCCCAGTCAGTCCTAGTCCAGTCGAGCAAGTACCGTATGGGACTGTGTGCACCACGGGCATGGGAAAGGGGCAGACCGACGAGATACAGAAGTATAAATCAAGAGGCAGCTCCCAGCCATTCATTCATTCCTGCGTAAGCCATGCAGAAGCGCTGCCATAGCGACTTGTGCGAGGTGGTCTGCAGTGAGCCCGAAGACGAAGTGGGCGAGAAGGAGCTTAGCCATAGCAATAGGTTAGCAGCGGC